TCCATTTTTGCCACTTTTCTGGTGGTTGCCATTATGATATTATAATCCAAAAATGAAAGTGCCTCAAGCAAGGGAAAGAGAAAAGGCAAGCCCCCCTCCCTTTTTTTCTATTTTGTCTTCCTGTGTCCTTAACACTTTTGTCTCAAATGGCACTCTGTAGTTATAGTCAGCATCACAGTCTGGCTCATATTACCTTTATCTTTTGTTTTGTAAAATCCACCAATTGTCTGCACTCTATAATAGTAAGCAAAAAAACATTACCACGAAAGTCTGGTATTTATTCAATTTATTCAAAATGTTATTTGAACGACTTTCACCAAAAAATAATCCCCTTTAAACTTTCTTACATCACTTCTTCTTAAGCCTTTTGCCAAAAAAACTTTTTTTTCCCTTTTAATCCAGAAAGAATTATGACTCACCGAGTGGAATTTTTTTTTTATCCTGCCACTCAGAAAATCTCTCTTTAGCTGTAAATTAGTTATATTCGTGTTTAAATTAAAGTGTTTAAGAAATGAGGCTCATGTGAATATTATGTCTGTGTAGACTGCATTACAGCTGTGAGCTTGATTGAAATCCCTGGACTCCCAGCTGCTCAACTCAGGAGCCAACCACAAAAATCTCAGTTCCTGCAGTCCACTCATGAGGAGCAGCTGTCCAGAGTGCAAGTGGGTGATCCCATGACTTCTCCTTTTTCCAGAGAGACCTTGCCAGCCAGAATTCACTGTCTGGCCACTGATCTCCACCGTAAACCCATCTCAGCTGCTTCAGGGATGTCTAGTTAGCCATGAATCCTCACCAGAAGCTGTGGCTGCCATCTCCAGAGGCGAAGTGATCTGCCTGTGGTCTATGAAGCAGACTACTTTATCTCCAAAGATCCCAGCCACAATTGCTGGTGAAACGTCAAGAGAGCCAGTTTGGTATAGTGGTTAAGGTGCTACCCTAGAAACCCGGAGACTGTGAATTCTAGCCCCACCTTAGGCATGAAAGCCGGCTGGGCGACTTTGGCCCAGTTACTCAGCCCAACCTACCCCCAGGATTGTTAGTGTGGGAAAAATAGGAGGAAGGAGTATTAGGTATGTTTGTTGCCTTGAGTTACTTATGAAGTAATAAACATGGAATAAAAAAAAAATCTAAAAAAACCCTGTTCTCTAGATCAAAGTCACTAGACCCTGAAGCCCAACACTGCCCAACAGATACAGGCTGTGAAAGCTTACACTGGAAGATGGTGATATCAAGGCAGAAAAGGTTCAAAACACAGTGTTATACTCACAAGGGCACCTTTTCCTCCGTGGTTAGGCTGAATAGCACCTTCCCCAATATCACAGTACCAGTGTTAACACCAGGCTGCAAGGCACTGAGGGATTGTCGCTTTAGTTCTACCTTCTGACCTGAGGGCCCTTGATAATGCCCATCACCACAAGGACCCAGATGGGAGGTACGCAGGCTTCCCAACATGCTTTGCAGCTTCTTGCCTTTCACCTTGCCCTATGACAGGAAAGCAGCAGAAACAAGGTTTGGTCGTGGAAGTGACATTATCTAATATAGACAGGACAAGTGGTGGAACCAAAAAATCCAAGTCTCTCCACAATAATACCTTGTTTTCAAGGAGTCTGGTTAGTCTCTCAAGGAAATCCATGAGTTGCTGCTCTCGTTGTTGAGGTTCCAGCCAGGCTGGATCAAGGGCTGCAGCCCGTGCAAAACCCTCCAGGGCTTCCATGTAATTTTCTTCATACTTAGAAAGCTGTGCAAAATGTATATAAAAACAAAACAAGCTAGGGTCAAATTGAATAGGCAGCCTGTCTCTAACAACCAAAAGTTCAGCATTCTAATACATGAATAAAACTCTGTCTCTCTCTCTCTCTCTCTTACACACACACACACAAAGGGAAAAGAAAAATAGGACAAGAAACCCAAACACATCAATTGAAAAGTTCTTAGAGATTCAGAGATAAGAGCAGTGTTTTCCAAACTTGGCAACTTTAAGATGTATGGACTTCAACTCCCAGAATTCCCTATACATCTTAAAAGTTGCCAAGTTTGAAAAACTCTGGATTAGAGTAAGAATGAACCTGCTTGTTAAAGCATGCCAGCCTTGAGGCTGTATTCCAGTTTTCACTACCAGCTTTGTTGGACTGTAGTTCTCCTTGTTCACGCGGGGGGGGGGGATCCCTACCTTTCCCAAAAAAGGACCTTTACAGGAAAGGGCAGCAGGCAAGGGTAACGTTGCTTTTGAATTGAGCTTGATTCTTGGAGAAAGAAAAACACCAGCCTCCTTTTGAGTAAATCACAGCAGCAGAATGAGTACCTGCAGACTCAATGCCTTTTGAGCATAAAGGCTGCTCTAATGAAGGAGGAGCTGTACAGGGTTGGAGGAGGTTGAGAGATGGCAGAGGGCCACAAAAAGAAACCTGCAGAGAAAAGCATCTGCTGGATTGCCCTGATCAGGTCTGTACAAACAAATTCCCCCTATCCTTCTATGCTAGTGTTTCTCAACCTTATCAACTTTAAGATGTGTGGATGTGTAGAATTCTAGGAGTTGCTGGCTGAAGAATTCTGGGAGTTGAAGTCTATACATCTTAAAACTGCTGAGGCTGAGAGACAGTTTTGTGCTGTGTGGCCTGGACTCAACTCACTGTCCAGACAGAGAAGACAGCTGGTTTCTCAAACTAGGAAGCCTTCTTCAGGAGCAAGAAAGGGGGCCAGAGGCTACGCAGGTAAGGAGCTGCTTATACACCCACAGCTGAGGTGGGAAGGATTATTGAGACCATTGGTGCAAAAGCAGAACATGCCAGGTCAGTTTGCCTCTTTGGTTAGACATCTTATTCTGAAGATTACTTTGAGATCTTGGTTTGGGCTGCTGAGGCTCCAAGCGTCTTTGTTTTCAACCCCTGCCCCTGAATGCTCAAGGGCAGGCCTGCAGGTTTGGCTCATGGGCCACATGCAGCCACGTGCAGGCTCATGGGCCATGTACAACCCCTGCCAAGCAGCCTTTGCAGCCCACTGGTGTTTTTTAAAAAGTAACAAATTCAGCGCCCTCCTGAAAGACACAATTCCAAGTGTCCCCAAGCCTCATTGCTGCCACCACCTCTAGTGCCACTGCCTGTCCACTAGCCACTCAACAGCTGAATGGTGCACCAGGTATTCCTTGGCAGCCCACAATGATTTTTCATTTAGCAATGTGGCCCTTTTCCCTCTACAAGTTGTACAGGCCCGTTCAAGGGACTGGGGAGAATAAACTTCAGCAGGTTCTCTACATCTTTAGAGAGTCCAGTTTGTTTTCTGTTACTCGCTAGTCAGCTTCCCATCTCTCTGTCCACAAGAGTCTCTGCCACAGTGACTTTCATAGACACATTCATGGAGCTATATTGTGTTTGATGTTATCTTTCCCAGAATGTTTTTTCAACGGTCTCTAACCCTGAGATTTCTTGATGGTGCCCCATCCAAGTCCTAACCACCCCTAACGCTGTTTAGCTTCCAAGTCCAAACAGATCAGCAGGTGCTGCCATGCGCTGATACAGAGCAATCAGAACACAGGCCCCTCAAAAAGTAAAAATTGGTTTCCCAATCAACAACTTAGCCAGCACCCTTGGATCATATTACACTTCAGAATCACCAGCTGGGATTCTAAAGCTGTTCTTGATAGATCAGCCACCCATCAGCCAATTTTAGGTTGCATCATACCCTTCTGTGTCCCGTTTCTTTACCGTGGCTCGATTGAGATGCAAATCTGGGTTACAAGAAGCAATGGGGTCCACCTTTTCCTATTACAAAACAATCAGAAGAAAAACATGAAGGTAAGAACAAATTCATTCATAAGGGATATTCTTCCTCCCTTAAATAATATTCCAAGGCAAACATTCCTTTTTGTTTACAACCTACCTCAACCAAGGACTATGAGTAGGTATCATGAAGCGAGAAGGAACCCACATGGGTTCTCAGGACTGAAGGTGCATAGCCCCAGCGGCCAATGTATCCAGTAGGGCTCATCTTTGCCACAATTAAATTGGAAGGTTTCCAGTGAAGCCAACGGAATTTTTTTCCAAACCATGTTTTTTTCAAACCAAATTACAACATGGGGATAATTGGAAAAGATGTCACAGCCTTCCCCCTCCCCATGCACTAAAATCCTGTGGTACTCCCTCTCCTATCTAGCAAATGGACTTTTTATAAAATCTCTCACGGTATATGGATTTATAAGCAGAATGTCATTATTAAGCAAGAATCACATTAGAAATAGACACTCAAGGGAACTGAGGTCTAAACTCCAGAATATCAACAATTCTGTGCCTTTTTCCTGATCTCTATACCATTTCAAAATAAGCCCTTTTGTCAGGTATTAAGGACTTAACAACGATGGGTGTTTCTACCATGCTTGTAGACTTCTGAAAAACCTATTTTGCTACTGCTGAATTACTGGAACATCAGTCTAACACAGTATTGCAAATCATATGTTAGGGAAGGCAGCAACTCTTTAGGCCTTTCACATCAAGCAGTAAGTCTGGACAACTAATGTAATGTAACAGTGCGTACAACAAAATGAGTTAACAGAATCCTATGCATCTTAAAACATTGTTCCAAATCCATCTTCCCAAAAGATTACTTAAATGTAAAACGTGCCACCAAAAGAAAAGTTCTAGCCAGATAATTCCAGGAAAAGTTGTGTTCATATATAATTTTCTCCCTATCCACAGCCTTAAGTACCACAGTGCATTTTATTATTTCCAGACTTTGTCGTTCATTCACCTGTATTTGCAGACAAGATGTAAGAATATACAATTTGTTAGGCAACATAGTGTACTCTGGACCTAAGTAAGAATGTAAATTCAAGCCTTCCAATATCCACGCTACCACACAGAAGTTACTCTTCTCACCTGGCAATCTAGAACTTACTATAGAACAGTATTCCTCAACCTTGACAACTTTATGATGGGTGGACTTCAACTCCCAACGTTCCCTAGCCAGCATGGGTTGGGAATTCTGGGAGTTGAAGTCCACCCATCTTAAAGTTGTCAAGGTTGATAAACACTGCTATGGAGGCTTCACGTGACCATCAGTCCCTTCCTCCCATACCACAGCTTTCTCTCAGGTCCCCTCCAGCACCTACTGCTTGAGCATAGGCACTCAGTGCTTGCTGGGAGATCTTGGGGTTCTGCCCTGTATTGAAGAACAAGGAGAGGTAGGCATTACCCAGGACATCTGTGGAATGCAAAAAAAACAAAATTAGCAAATTACACATCCCATTCCCTTTTCTGCCCTATCCCACCATAGGCTAAAAGATCACATTATAAACTCACACCAAGAGCGTCCATCACGCACGTCCATCTGCACAGCCAGTTTGGCTTGCCGCACACTGTCCATCACATTTTGTGCGTGTTCATCAGTAGAACTGGTGCGCAGCTGCCGTAACACCATGGAGAGATTCTGCAAGGAGACTTTGTTCTTACACTGAAATGGTAGAAAACAAAAGCATATTCAGCTGGAATCACAATACTGCAGGACAAGACTTCTGCATTAAACAAGAACTCACTCTTGATAAGCTCCAAATACTTGTTTCCCCAAATTACTCTTTGCAGCATGTCTTTTCTCTGAAAGGGGTTTACTTGATCTACAGAATGCCATTAGAAAAGCCAGAGGTTTCCAAACAGCCCTTCAAACAAAAGAACCATTTGCTAGCAGAGAATCTAAGGGAAGCTTACATGGCTGAGCGCTCCAGAGAAGCAGGTATGGGCAGCAGAGACATCACCCTTTTTCCAGTAAACCTCGCCTAACTGATTCCAAGCCTCCACCAGTTCCGGGTCCAGCTTGACAGCTTTGGAGAGCAATTCTTCAGACTGGGCATTATAGTCTGCTGATACATTCAAAGTTTTCCCCTTAAGCATCAGTATGTAAGCTCGCCCTTCTGATAGGCCTAGTAGGGGTGGAGGAGAAAGAAAGAGATTCCATGCTTACGTCACTGTCTAAAAAAAAATCCACCTAATATTGAGCTGTAAGTTTAGTAGCTATACATTTCTTTTTGTCAGTTTATTTTTATCTTCCATCTGCTGTTCAGTTACAGATGTCCCTAACTGATATAACTGGGTATAAAAACCATACAACTAGCAATTGATATGTTCTATCTTAGTAAATAATGATAAATCATTAACCTGAATTCCAGATATAAACTTTCATTGTTTTTGTTGTTTCAAGTGATAAGCCAATACAGGTAGTCCTCACTTAACAACCACAACTGGGACCAGCAACTCCATCACTAAGCAACGCAGTTGTTAAATAAGATGTCACATGACTGCACCAGACTTATGTCAGTTCCGCTGTGGTCATTAAGGACATCACATGACCACGACTTATGACTTCCTGCCAGCTTCCCCATTGACTTTGCTTGTCAGAAGCTGGCTGTGAAGGTTGCAAATGGCAATCACGTGACCGTAGGATGCTGCAACCATCGTAAATGCATGCTGGTTGTGAAGTGCCCGAATCGCGATCACGTGACTGTGGGGATGCAGCAACAGCTGCAAGTTTGAGGACTGGTTGTAAGCCTACTTTTTCAGCACTGTTGTAACTTCAAACAGTCGCTGAATGAGGCAGTGGATTACTGCAGACTACCTGTAATTTTCCATTTTTTCTTTTGATTTCTGGTATTTCTAGTTTATTACATTTCAGGGAGAATTCAAATTGTTCTGAGTGTAGCAGCCCTAATTTAAGTTTCAGTGCTATAAATGCATGAGATGATTTGTCTGTGAGGTTGCTGGTATTTAACAAAAGTGAATCTTCAACTATTTTCCAAGATTAGAGTGCACAAGTTTTTAAATTTCTTTGCTTAAATGACCCCCAAACACCAGCAAGATTTTCTTCCAATTAATACCAAAGTTAATTGATTATCAACAGAAAACAAAATATGTCCTCATGTCATCCTTGAGGGCCTCCCAGAAGCATCTGGTTCCCTATTATGGGAAACTAGACTAATCAAACACATTCTACATGGGGCTGCCCTTGAAGACTACTCAGAAGTTACAACTGGTCCAGAATGCAGCAGCACACACAGTGTCAGGTGCCCCTAGTTTGCCCACATTACAACCCTGTTGCATGAGCTGCACTGGCTTCCAGTTTCCTTCCAGGTGCAATTCAAGGTGCTGGTCATTACCTTTAAAGTGCTACATGGTACAGGACCAGGCTATTTGCAGGACTGCCTCTCCTGAGGATATCTGCCTGTCCCACTAGATTGGATAGGGTAGGCACACTCCAGGCCCTTTCCCTAAAATCTTACCATCTAGCGGGACCTAGGAAGTATGCCATTTCTGTGGCCGACCCTACCTTATGGAACACTCTCCCCCCCAACCCAGCAGGCCCCACCCTCTTAGCCTTCCAGAAGGCCATTAAAACCTGCCTCTCTACCCAGGCATTGGGTAGAATGGTGGAACCTGTGGATGGTTGTTGGGGCACCCTGAAAGGTTGATTGCAGCGCCAGGTTTTTAGTTCTTGTTCTATGGTTTTTATGGTTTCTGTCATTTTATTGTTGTTGTGAACTGCCGAGACTTGTTTCAAGATGGGTGGCCATACAAATCTTATAAACAAATAAATAAAATAAACAACAAAGACTTCTGGTGTCTAAGTAATGAACAATTGCAGTTATCAAAATGCTGAAATGAACAAAGTTGTGGTAGACAGAACTGGATTTTTATGGGGAAGGATTATAATCATTCTTCAGAATTGATATCCCCCCCCCTTCCCCCAAGGTACTGGACTCAAACGTCTTTAATTCTGCGCATGTATCTTATGTATTCGGGCAGATCAGTATATTTGGTGGATCTAATAATAAAACAAAACAAATCCCTTAACATGGAGATATGGAAATTCAAGTTATATGTGAATTACCGTCTATCGCTTCCATTTTTAGAAGAGTCTTCTCCATCTCTTCCCGAACATCCTGTTGTTTTTTTCCAGCATCTTCCACACTGTGATTCTCAAAATAATGATCTCGGAAATGATATAACTGGTCAACCAATTCCTATTAATAAGTTGATAAATACTATCAGACCTTCCAATAGTCATGTCTTGCCAATTTAAAATTCACTGACATTTGGGCTGTGATTGCACAACAGACAAGCCCAGATTACGCAATACACTGGACCAAAACTTAAGCATTTATCTGTGTTCACACAGTATCTAAGCTAAAACGTAATTGACCAATTTGAGGTTTACTGTATCCATTCTGTTACAAGAAAGCACAAACCTGGAAGCACAACTGATTAAATGTCTATCATTATGCTGACTTAGTAAAAGATAAAATAAATATATATGAAAATCCAAAATATAATCAGGAAATCAGTCCTCCCTTTAACATTCCTTACTACTAGTGTCCAGCAGTCAAGCATAACTTAAGGAGCAAACTTAATCTAACTAAACTTTGAAACTATATTCTACAGCACAGAACTGGCATTTTTAAATAACAAACCAACAAGCATTTTTCCTCCTCGTTGAATAACCACAGATTAACCCAGAAATCTTTGATCCTAAAGATCATCAGGTTTGATACTCGGGCTCATTCAGGGCGCAGCTATGAGACTCGATTCCGCTGATTATTCTGAGCATCCTGGGGATCAAAGAAAGCCTGAGAAGGTCTACAAAAGTTCACACTTACCTGCAACCAAAGCAGGAGGGCATATTCACCTTGGGGTCCCTCTCTACGCCCATGCTCTTTCTAAATCACTGTCCCCCTCTCTGCCTACTTCTTCCCTTCCAGCATTGCTTAAATTACTGAGCTCTGAAAATTCTCAGAGCAGCAAGTCAGCCAGTGAAAACGAGATAAAGGCACATGGCACCAATCGCCCTGCACCCACCGCCAGAGCCAGAAGCTCCGCCGGCCGCCCTGCTCGTCCTCGACTTCTGAACGCTGCGCGGTTGGGGCAGCGAGTCCTGCTCCCGTTCAATTAACTGCCTGCGTAAATCCGGGAAAGCCTCGGGGCGTTGCTCCGTCCCTTCCACAGAACAAACGCGCAGGTATCTTTGTTTTAATAATGGCGTTAAAATGCAGAGGAGAGAATACCGTCTGTTACTCGCCGTACCTGCAAACGCTGCCCAGCTTGCGAGTTTTCCTCTTCTTCCTCGGCCATGATTGCTGCTGACTCGCCGCCCTTTCCTGCTCTTCTCTCGCTTGCAACCGCGGAGGAAGGTAGAGACCTCTAAAGGCTTGGAGGACGCAGAGCAATCCGGATGGAGCAGGAGAAGCAGCGCTTCTCGCAACTGTATCCTTCAGTTCTTCCGTGATCTCTGTCTCTAAGCTTTCTTTTAGTGGCATTTCTAACCCAGGATTCCTCTTAGACCAATTTTCTGGGAATAAAAGAAATCTCTAGCACCGGCTTGTGATTCTGGGTTTGCAGCAAAAGCCATACTCGGGTCAGGCGTAGGGGCAAAGCTGCACCTGCAGTCTCCTTCCCCTGGTGCTGGACTGACTCCGTGGACGGCGTGGGCATTTCCGTGCAGATTTCTCAGCGGCGATGCTGACAGGGTGGGCCAGGGTCTTCTTTCCCGGTTTCACCTAGGAGATAACTAGCACTGTAAATTGTAATCCCGCACCAAATGAATTTAGAATAAAAGCTTCTAACCAGTTTAAAATATCACAGCGCTTTGGGGAACACCTGGCAACTTAGATATTGAGGAAGGCCCAGGAAATGGCAGCGAGTAGATTTTGATAAAGCTACTTTCAGCTGCTAGTCTGATCCTGTCTGGGGGAGGCACCGCTGGATACCTTGTGGAAGAGAAAGGAAACGTACCTTCCAGCCAGATATATTTTATACAAATCAGGCTAAATATATGGCAATTTAAACTTTGTGGGTGAATGCATTTTAAAAGGTAAAGAAGCTCAGCTCTTAGTGACTACATGAACAAGTCCATGCATTTTTTTGGCAACAGTTTGACAATAGGGGTTAAGAGCACCCGAGTTACAGATGGCCCACAGTTAAGAACAGAACCTACTGTAGCAAAATTTGAGTTAAATACACGATTCAAGTTAAATACATAATGGTTTGAGTTAATTACGCAACACTACTTATACAGTATTATGCAATAATACTGTTCTGGTTTACCTACAAATTCAACTTAAGGACAGACCTTGGGAACGGAACTTGTTCTTAAAGTGGGGACTCCTGCCTTCTTCTGAGATTTTTTTTTTTTATTATTTTCCAGTCATAGGTCTGGAATTTAAATGTTTTAAAGCTATTTCCAGGCTTCTCCTGTAGGATCTAAGAATTATAACTTTGGGGAAGAGCTGAGAGAACCATGTCCAGATGGAGCTATAAACATCCAGTTTATTTCCAGTAGAGATATGTCTCTGGGGATTTCCATCTAACTTTTAGCCATATATTTCCTGCTGCCAGCTTATGGGAAGTATGATTTTCTCATATTCCCAATATTACACTTTTTAACAGACAGTTCAAGTAGTGAACACCAAAAATCACCATTGAGAAATAAGAGAAAGGTGTCTGCAGGATAACTCTTATATGTTCATCACTCTCTCTGCTATGTTCTTTCTAATTAGCTTTGAAGTATGCACAGCTCTATTAAATGGAATATTAATATTCCTTCATATTCTATTAAGGAAATGGTGTTTCCTTACTAGCCATGCCTACCATGACATCCATTTGGTGAAAAAACAGTTCTCCTAGGGCATCCATTTGCCCATCGTATCCTCTCAAAATTCCAGATGTACCCTTAGCCCAAAAAAGTTGTATATTGTTTTTTGGTCTTTTATGGAAGTACCAAAAACAATCAAAAATTCAAAACAGCAAGCAAGCAAAAATCCATAACAATTAAGAAAACAGCCCTTTTCTCAAAAAAAATGGGGTCTGATTATGATCAGTACTTACAAAATAACTGCTAACAGAAATCAGAAAGAAATAGGTGGAGGAATAGAGTAGCATGCTGGAATAGGGCATAGTGAGTTTGAATCATGAACAGTATCAGAATCCTCTTACTAGGGGATTTGAACACATCACCATATTTTATTGCAGATTCTACTTCTTTTGTTTATGCTGCCTTCCTGGTAACTCCCTCCCTCTCACTGTCTCTATGCCCACATGTGCGTCCCACTCTTGTAAGATTTCACTTTTATGCACATTTTGCTCATCTTAACCTTCCTTTGGTCAGGGTGATTCTAGAAGTGTATGTACAAAATGGAATGATAATGAAATACAATTGGATCAAGATTTATATTTACCCATAAACCCATTGAAATAAATGGGATTTAATAATCATGACTAACTTAAGGCCCATTGGGACATTCTAAATTTTACAGTTCAATTCAACACAGAGAATCATATGGATGGTGGTAATCTAATTATCTGGTTTATCAAACAGAGCAATACAACCCTCATAATACAGGTCCATTTAAAGAAATTCATAAAAGGGCTATTTTTTTAATGACTGGAGAAGCACTTAATATTTAATCACAAGCAAAAAACAAAAAAAAAAGACAGTCATCCACAGATGTTTATACCAATGGAAATGTATACAGGCAGATAATATTTTTTTCCCTCCATATATTTTTACCTACAAGTAGCAATGAACAAAAGAAGCAAATCCTTGCAAATATATTTACACACACATTGAAGAAAACATGCTACTTTAAGATGTGACAGTTGAAAACAGTCATCAGTAGATTAAAACATTACAACACATTTGTTACAATAATGCAATTGTTAAATATTTGAGTACCAATTAAACTGAGTCAGTGACAATACACAATAGTTAACACGCTGAGAATGGGTCAGAACTGTTGTGTTTGGAAGGAGGTTGCCATGTGACAGAACAATGACAAGATGTATACTGTAACAAACTCATGCACAAGTAAACTACAGTAACACAGCAATATAACAGTTTAAAAAATATTGACTTTGAAAATTCTCGCTTTTTCTTTGTAGAAACTCTTGCTTTAACATATGGCATGGCTCGGTTTTTCAGAAAAGGATTTGTCTTTCACTCCTTTAATTAAAAACTCGTTTCTTTGGTTGGG